ATTCAACATTAGCAATGGCTGGGGTTTGCTGCATAACACCTCCACAGGATGAACGTGGTTATTCTCTCAAAGGTCCTTACCAACCTCTCCACGTATATCCACAGAGGATCTGTCTGGTCTAATAAAAACTCAGCACTGATTGCCGTTTCGCAAGCAGTTAATTTGTTCTGTATATATTTAGCAGCCAATATGCACATGGCAAGATAGATGGGAATGCAACGCCCATGATTAGTAAATGGGATTGATGGTTGGTATGACTGAATCCTGTAAAAAACATGTATACATTATTACTTTATGATTCTCCTGCATGGACAGCGAAAGTAATAAACATTATATATTGCATAAACTAAACTTTCTTTGATAAGCAAGACCTAGTCAATCCTCTGATAGTACTAGGGTTCCACACAGCTTAGTGCATACCAACATGAAATCATAAAGGCTTAACAAGATACTAAAGGAATCGAGAGACAAATAAACCATTTGTCATCATATTTACTATTATATCAATTAGTAAAGGGGATGGGCTTAACATTTGGTTGGAAAAGTATTTCGTCCTTATTATACCAGTCGGAGTAACTACTATTATCAATCTGATCAACGTACTTCATAGAGGATATGCAACAAAAATTCAAATGCCGAGTTAGTGACCATGTTCAAACGATAGTGTTTGGTAATGTTCAACTCATTAAGGTAATTGTTGATGCGCCCATTGCGAGACTTTATATAGATTTAGTGACAATTTCGAGCAGATTATAATTATATATATATATATATATATATATATATATATATATATATATATATATATATATATATATATATATATATATATATATATATATGTGTGTGTGTGTATGTGTATGCGTGTGTATGTGTGTCTATGTATTCAAATATTGATTTATTTGTGTATACAAAAGAGGAACTATTTATTTCAGTTATTCATTAGAATTTAACTTTTGGGACTTAAGAACTGCTTTGTTATCACTGGGAACCCTTTCTAAAACATGCAGACATGTATCATTGAAGAAAATCAAGGCATTCACGACGTTTGGAATTCATCTGGAACATTTTATAATTTCGGATTTGTGATAGGACCTTAGGATTATTTCTGACTTAATTCATAATACTGTTAGTATCCCTTAAACTTTCACTTTAAATAAATAATATTTTGATCTTACTAAACATGCTAGTTTCCATTATTTCTGTTAGATTGTTTAAAACCTATATTCGTTCAGTTATGTGCTATCTTATCACACTCAAATGTCCCAATATAGAGCAAGTATACAATACATTCATTCTGGTCATGATTCTATTGATTAAACGTGTCAATGACATATAAGGATACTTCGTCTTCTATCTTCCTTAATCGTGATAAGCATATGCTACTATTACACGACAGCAGAGACGGAGTCAAAACATTTTAAATGTGGCAACAAAAGATGAGCTCCTGAAAATGATGATGGAGATGTCAAAGGAAATTAAGCAACTTAGACTGCAAAACAATAAGTTTATTCAAAACGGAAAAGAATTACTTTTGACACAGACGGAGCTCCAATGTATAAAAGATGAACAGTTGAAGACAAAACATGTTATGTGTGAGATGATTATTGTCAAACAAGACCCGGTAAAGGCTAACGAGAAGCTACATATACTGGAAAAGTAGCAGGAAGTCGCGAAAGATATACAGACACAATTATTGATTACCCAGAAAGAGCAAACAGTTATTTTGCACAGCCTTGAGGTTCGGAACACAACATCAATGAAACAGACAAGAAAAGTCATAAAAAGTGTCAAACATAAAAAATGGCTTTCCAAAAGTTAGCACATATAAAATAGACCAGGAGTATAGCGACAATACCCACTCCAATGAAACAGTTCAAGCAAAGACGATTATCTCGGAAATTCCTAGAAGCAAAAGAAACAGTAGAGGTAAAAGATATAAGTCCGCTTTGTCTGTCTCTATATATTTTGTGTAGTTTAGAACTATATCGACAGATTATTGAAATTTGCCTATAATATCAATTGATTACACACACCCCGTCTATGTCAATCCCAAATAAATGTATCACATTGATGGATTTGTTGTTATCGTGTTCTCCATCACGAATAACCCATTTGTGTCTTGCACAATTAATGTTGAAATAATGTTTTTGTAATGGACACTTTCTAGTGCTGCCACATGATGTGACGTGTCAACTATTGCTTTCCATTATTAATGAGGTTTGAACCAAGTTGATAAAGTCATCGCATTGTATGAACCCTAAATGTTCCTCTTAAAAATCCGAAATTAGATCATACCTATTCAGGAAATACCAAATATGTTTTACCTCTTGATATTAAGAGATTGAGCAGTAAAATAACTCAGTGATGCTAACTAAGTAGTACAGGATTATTGACAGTTTAGGCAGAGAATGGCCATACCTTGTTTACATGTGTTAACTAGAAAGCTAGGTAAACGTTATAGGACACAACGAGAAACACAGAGATAGAAATGATGAGATTAGATACAAATTTAATTTCTTAAATGAAATTAGATAATACTCAGCTGCAAGTTCGAATCTACAATAAATATCCAAAGTATCAATTATAGATTCAATACACGTTAATCACCAACCAATATCACTTCTACCTGTATGAATATGAACAAAAGAAATAATTTAACCATCTCATGTGTCAAAATCTTAACTATGAAATATGATAAAAACACATGCTGAATCTGATATTGTACCACCTTGGTAAAATGCAGTGACATTATAAAATAATTAAATTTGCCATCCATTTCTAGCGATGTATCCACATTATTGCATATGGAAATATTGAGTACTTGTACTTTGTATGAATAAAGTGGGAGAACATTCTGAATTTAGAGAAAACTGCTAACACAAATTCAAATAAACATGTATTATCCTTTATAGATATTTATTTTCTTTTCAGAGACACTTTCAAGGGTCCTTAATTGTGTACGTATACATATAATTTTATTTTGTTTTCTTTTCTACAGGAGTCAAACGTAGTCCTGTTGTTCCAAAAGTTGCCTTTACAGCGACGATTTCTAACACGTTATCGGGATTGAATAACCTGGGTCAACCACTAGTTTTTGACGATGTTCATCTCAATATTGGTAATGGGTACAACAAGCAAAGTGGATTATTTCTTGCACCCGTTTCAGGACTTTATCTAATTTTAATGACAATTTCCACAGACTATAGCACTGGTCCTGATGTTGTGGTTGTCCGTAATGGGTCGCGATTGTGTGCAACCATTCCTTCGATGAACGATCACTTGTATGCGGGATCTCCATGTAATGTGATTGTTCAACTAATGCAAGGAGATGAGGTTTGGGCTAAAGTGTATAGTAGGTTCGCGACAGACAGAATACGCGACGGCATGTGGTCGACATTCTCAGTTGCACTCTTGTCAATGGATGGAAGTACAAGTTCATAATGACTTTCTCAAAATAATATATCTCGCTCGAATTATAGAAACCTGATTATTCATATAATTTACATTGTGTATCAGTTATTAATTTTTACTTATTGGTATAAATATGATGTGCTTTCAGTAATCAGATATAAATAATATATTGTCAAATCTTCTAGAGGATTTTTATTACTATTGCTCAGTTTACTCAACAAGCTAAAGGCTGTGTACTAGTTGCAAAGTAAAAGGCTCAGATAAGTCCAGTTTAAAAAAGCTACGATTTGCATCATATCACTTCCAGAGGATGACTGGTGATTGAAACAGTATCCAACCGTCATCGTTGGATTTAGCCAAACTATTACCTTATAAGATCCATAAGAACCTGCCCCAATCATATTCTCTTAGTGTCGGACTGGTCGAAAAATTGGTCAGTACTGGATGCTGCCTCGTACACGCTTGATGTTTATATACTTCTTTTACAAATTGATATATACATGGCAAGATCTCCCATAATTATTGATGGTTTTTTATGACTAAATGCTGCAAATGTATGTTTTGCATTGTTACTGTAAGATTTTCATGCATGGACAGTGAAAGTAATCAACTTTACTAATTGCATAAACATAGCCCTCTTTCCTATGCAACATTTAGTCGCTCTTCTGATAGTGCTGGGGTTCAGCGTAACTTGGTGCACACGAAAGGAAATCAAGAATGCCGTTTAACAAGGTACTAAAGCAATAAATATAAAAAAATAAACCATTTGCATTTTGCATACTTATTATTATGTCAAAAATAAAGAAGGAGGCTTGACACCCAGGTAGGAAATTAAAGGATACATGATAAAAACTCGAATAAGGAGTTAGTGGCCAGGTTCAAACGATAGTGTTTGATAAAATGTTCAACTCATTATAAGAAATAGTAACGGTACGAACATTATAATTGTTCGTGCGTCTCTTGCGAGACTTTCTATAGTTTTAGTGACAATTTTGACGGACTTTAGTCTAGTCCAGATATTGTGGTTGTCTGTGATTGGTCACAAATTGGTTCGACCACATCTTCGTGTGACGATTGTACATATGCAGCAGTTCCATGCTGTCTGATTGTTTAACTGATGCAGTGAGATGTGATTTCGGTTCAACACCGTGATACGAAGAGGACACACAACATACGCAGATAGTTTTGGTCCACATTTTCAGAAGTAGTCCCGTCTATGGCTCAAACCTCACGTTACACATCATGAAGTTTTGAACATCAAATCAAAGCAAGTTTAAACATAACTATTTATCGGAAAACAAATGTGTAATTATTGCAGTAAAGTACAAATATATGTATTCCAGATAATTATCAAATAAAAGAGTCTCTGACAAAGGGTCCAAAAGATTATCATTATATTTGTGATCGACATATTGCTACAATGTCTGCAGTGTGACAGTTTATACTGATGTCTGGCACTGAGGAATCATGCTGGAGACTTGTAGCATGGTGTCCCACCCAGTCACATTATCCTCAGCGACCAGTTTTAACAATAACCTCTTAACGCTGAACACCAAGAAAAGCAGAAGTTCGTATCATTTTAATAAGTCTTTTGGTATGACTCGGCTTAAGATCAAACCCACGACCTCCCGCATCCGTGGCGGACGCTCTAACCACTAGGCCACAGGAGCAGTTGTATGCTTTAAGGAGAAAGTAATATATGTATTCGTATATAAATATATGGGAAATATTTATTTTAATTATTCATTTGAATTCAAGAACTACTTTGTCATCATTGGGAACTCATTCCAAAACATGCAGATTTATATCATTGAGGTAAATCGGGGCATTAACAACTTTTGAAAAACATCCGGTACATTTTGTAATTCCGGATTTGTGATAGGGCATTACGGTGTTTTCCTATTTAATTCATAATACTGTTAGTTCCCCTTAAAATTCCACTTAGAGAAAAAATATAGCTTGATTTTACTAACATGTTAGTTTTGCTCCTTTCTGCTACATCATTTAAAACTCAGATTCGTACAGATATGCGCTAGCTTATCAAAGTGAAATGTCCCAATATACAGCATGTATATAATACATTCATTCTGGTCAACATTCCTACTGATTCAACTTGTCATATATAGATAAAGATGTTTCGACTCTTACTTTCTTTAATAGTGATAAGCACATACAACTTTTACAAGACAGCAGAAACGGAATCAAACATTTTAAATGGGGCAATAAAAGATAATCTCTTGAAAATCATGATGGAGATGTCAAACGAAATGAAGCAACTTAGACTGCAACACGATAAGTTTCTCCAAAACAGAAAAGAATTACTTTTGACACTGACGGAGCTCCAATGTATAAAAGATGAACAATTGAAGACAAAACATGTTATAGCTGAGTTGATTATTGACCTTTTGAAGACTAACGAGAAGATGAAAATGCTGGAAAAGGAGAAGGAAGGCGCGATTGAGGGTGTCAAACATACATATGGCTTTCAAAATGTTAGAACAGACGGACAGAAATATAGCGACAATACCCATTCGAATGAAACAATTCAAGAAAAGACAATTTTCGCGGAATTTCCTGGAAGGAAAATAAACATTAGAGGTACAATACAGTTCCATTTTTTCTGTCTCTACATATTTCGAGTATTTTAGAATTATGTTGAGAGATTATTGAAATTTGCCTCTAATATAATTTGATTAAACCAACCCCAACGTTGTCCATCCCAAATAATTGCATCGTGTGATATATATATATATATATATATATATATATATATATATATATATATATATATATATACATACACATACACACACACAGACACACACACACATACATATATATATATATATATATATATATATATATATATATATATATATATATATATATATATATATATATATATATATATATATATATATATATATATATATGTGTGTGTGTGTGTGTGTGTCTGTGTGTGTGTGTGTGTGTGTGCTGTTATCGTGTTCTCCATCGAGAATAATTCACTTGTTTCTTGACCAATTATTTGTGAAATAATGCTATTTTTTGTTTTTGTTTTTTGTATTGGTCTATTTCTGGTGTTGCCATATGATTTGTAGTGTCCAATATAGCTTACCATTATAAATTATATTTGAACGAAGTTGATAAAGTCATCGCATTGCAAGAGTCCAAAATGTTCCTCTTAACTAACCCAAACTAAATTGTCTGGAAATACCAACTTTATCTTAGCTCCAGTATTAAAAAAGAAAAGGGCAGTAAAACAACTTAATTTGGCTAACTAATAGGTACGAGCTTATTGTCAGTTTAGACTGAAAGGAGCCATAACTTATTTAAATGTGTTAATTAGAAAGCTTGGTAAAAATCATTCCTCAAACATAGACAGAAATTATGATCATTGGTACGAATTTAATGTCTTTAACGGATTTAGAAAATTGTACTCACCTTGGTTGGTGCACGCTTAAATCTACAGTAAGTATCCAAACTGTCAATGACAGATTCAATACAAGTTAATCACTAACCAATGTTAGTTCTGCCTGTTTCAATACTTGCAAAAAGTAATAATTTAAAAAGTTCATGTGTCAAAATATTACCAAAGAAACATGATAAAAACACACGCTGAATCCGATATTCTTAATCAGATGCATCGTAGTGACACTAAAAATAATTCAATTTGTCATCCAGTTCTACCGATGTATGGTATATCCACCTCTTATTAAAGATTGAGTACTAGTATTTTGGCCGAATAAAGTGGGACAACATTCTGATCTTTAGAGAAACGCTACTAACAAAAATACACATAAACATGTCTTATTATTCATCAGTAAATATTTTCTCTTCAGAGACACTTTCAAAGGTGCTTAAATGTGTACATATAAAGATAATTTTATTTTGTTTTCTGTTTTACAGGAGTCAAACGTAGTCCTGTTGTTCCAAAAGTTGCCTTTAGAGCGACTATTAGCAGCACTTTATCGGGATTTAATAACCGGGGTCAAGCACTAGTGTTTGACAATGTTCAACTCAATATTGGTGATGGATACAGCAAACACAGTGGAATTTTTCGTGCACCCGTTGCCGGACTTTATGTAGTCTTACTGACAATTTCAACAGATTCTAGCACTATTCCTGATGTTCTTGTTGTCCGTAATGGGTCGCGATTGTGTGCAACCGTACCTTCGGTCGTGGATCACTCGTATGCGGGATCTCCATGTACATGTAATGTGATGGCTAAACTAATGCAAGGAGATGAGGTTTGGCCTCAAGTGTACAGTAGAAAGGCGACAGACAGAATACGCGATTGCATGTGGTCGACATTCTCAGTTGCACTCCTGTCAATGGATGGAAGCGCAAGTTCATAATGACTTTTGCAAAATAATATATCTCGCTCGAATTATCGAAATATGAATATTCATATATTTGATATTGTATTATTCAGATATATTTATTGGTACAAATATCTTGTCCGTTTATATTTAGGTAAAAAATAATACGATTGACAGATCTTTTAAAGGATTTAAATTGTTGTTGCTCAATATACTCAACAAACTAACGGTTGCAAAATTATATACTCAAATAACTCAAGGTTAACAACGACTTGGGTTTTCCTCATAGTATCTCTAGAGGATGACTGTGGCGATTGAAATAATATCCAACCATCATAGCTAGATTTTGGCTAACTATTCCCTCAGAGGTCCTTAAGAACATGCCCATGGAGGGTCTGGCTGGTCTCAGATAAGGTCAGCACGGATTGCTGCTTTGCACACATTTAATTTGTTCTATACTTATTTAGAAACCAATATGCACATGACAAGATAGATGGGAATGAAACGCCCATGATTAGTAAATGGGGTTGATGGTTGGTATTACTGAACAATGTTAAAGCATGTCTGCATTATTATTCTATAATGGTGTGTTTGAAATAGCCTTTGTATACCATTTGTAATGTGTGTCCAATCGCCCCCACTGATACAGGGCAAGTCCCTCCTCCAATCTGGCAAGAGCTGTTAGTGTGGTTTCTACCGACAATCAGTCCTACATTAAGTTCTTCCTTTCAAAGTTATTTTTTTTAAGAATACACAAGTGGTAAGACTGAAAGACTTGTAAAATCGGTAGGTGCTTGATGGTTGCAAGGATTGGCTAAAATGCATGCTTAATTAGCGTAAGATGTGTCAGTAAAGAAGCGAAATAGGAACGCTAAAAATGCCATTCACGTGGAAAGGGCACCGAGTCTGTCGCAAGGCAACAAGCGTTTGATAAAATTAGGGTGCGGTATAACATCGTGTATGCCAATGATCTATAAGCTATAACGACAGTTGAGAGAGGAAAACAACCGCATTTAGATACCCTTTCTTAATATGCATGAAGGGAAAAGTCAGCTTTTGCGGAGAGCAGAAATTTGTATTTTCAACTATTTCGTCATTAGCATACTAGTCGCGATTTCTTTTATTACCCGTTTGAAAAATTTTCTCCACAGGGGCAGATATACAAACATATATATAATGACACAATGCATGCACTACTGAAGATCAAGCAAGCTGATGTTATAGCAGAGCAGACGCGTTTAAGAAGCAATAGTGAGCCACTGCAATATAAAATCCAGAGATTGTCGTGGAGGGTTTTGAAGTTTTTCTTAATGACATAGTGACAAAACTCGCAAAGCCATTTACATGGAACGTAGGGAACTAAACTAATTGAAGTTTCGCAGCGCTCAAATGGTATATATGCAGAACGGCAGGCAATACGTCCCCTATGATGATCAGGTGGACACTTTAAATTAACGTCATATTTATGAAGAGATAAAATCTTCGTTCTGCTTGATGACTAGATTTAGCTGCCGAGTGCCCAAGCTATCGCCATAGTTTTTGGTCGTTTCGAAGAATACATGCACACGTAGTCAAGAAGGATGTCTGCCAGGTGACAGGTTCTCGAACTCGGTGTTTCGCCAACTTGAAATGCTTAAGTGAAACCAACCATGTGTTGTTATGAATGTTACATAAATAAAGGCCTCTGCTTTGATAAGGTTATTACGTCGTCTACTGTATAACTAGTAAGCCACAACGTTGATTATGCAGGAAAATACTGTCTGCGCCAGAGTTTGTACAAAAAAAATTGTACCCTTTGTCGTGGAGGGAAACATCCAGAGTAGTAGTATAGTGGGATATTATAGGGCCAATGGAAATTAGTATTATAGACCCCCTGGGATAGTATGTGGACATAATTTATAGGACACAAAAATCACCCTGGGATAGAATGGGGACAATGGTAATTTTGTAAAGAGACTAGAACATCCTGGAACTATATAGGGACACGGAGAAGTTTGCATAGCGACACGATTAATGGCACAGGATGAGTGACGTTATGGTACTGGACAGTAACGTCATGCCACCTGTGTCATATCTATATAAAATTTGAATCATTCGCATTTGTGTTTGTGATTATTATAATATTATACCTAAATTATACAACTGACTAAAACAAAGTTTAGATAAGAGAATAATGTTTTTGTGATATAAATTATACACTCGTATACATGTATTTAGGCAAGACAAAATCTTTTCGAGTCATTGGAGAGGCCCTGAAAAGGTCCGTTGTTTGTTATGTTTACAACATTCTGTTAAAATAGATGACATCTCACTGATCTTTTTCTCTCTCGTAAACTTCGTCAAATATC